CAGAAGAGCCAATAATTGTTTTTGGGAGTTGATGGTAAGATGAATTGATGTGAACATTTAATAATACAATACGATGTTGGCTATGTGGTTATACCTTATGAAAATGAAAAAATAAAAAAGTTTAAAAAATAAAAATAAAAAACAAAGAAAAACAAGCAACTAACCATCATTATAATCCAATCAACCTCTGATGTTCTTCTGTCCATATGCAGGGACTACCAGGCCAGGATGGGCCTCCCGGACTCCAAGGTATCCCAGGATGCAATGGAACGAAGGTGGGATTGGCTCCTTTGGAAGCATACAACTTTCCTAACTAATGTGGGACAATTACTCTATGGCAGTGATGGCTAATCTTTTTCTCCTCACGTGCCAAAAGCGTTCACACGCATGTGTGTGACATTGCGTGCGTGCGTGCCCACACCCATAATGCAATGCACATGCAAAATCTCCTGTGCGCCCCTGCCTCCCTGCTCATGCACACGCGACCCCCTGCACCCCATTTTGGGTTTAGCAGGCTTCCCTGAATCCTCCTGGGACCAAAAATGTGGCACAGGGGACACACCGCGCCATCCCATGCTTTTCCTGTCCCCGTGCACACATGCACATCTCCCACATCCACAACAGAGACCCGAAAATTAGCTGGCTGGTGGGAGGCACACACACATGCATGGTGGCGTTGAGCTGGGTGACGGCTTGCGTGCCCGCAGAGAGGGCTCCGCGTGCCACCTGTGCCATGTCTGCCATGGGTTTGCTATTGTGGCTCTATGGTCATAGTAAAAGAGGATTAATTTGTATATTTGGAATTTTGCACATATACTAACATTAGTTGCCCCAAATGTTTGGCTGCTGGGACTGGCTGATTTGTAAAATAACACCATGAGGACATTTTCAGCCAGAAAGTCTCAGTTTACACAAACAGGATAAGTTAGAGCAGCAGGCTTGATTTGGAAACAGTTTAAGCAGGGTTGGATTTAAGCAGGGCTGGGAGACCACCAGGAAATGCCAGGGTTAGGCTGAGAAGAAGGCGGTGGCCAACTTATCTTGCCTTCAAGAAAACTTCCCAGATGCAGCTTTCCAATTAACGGGGCTGATCTGACCACATCAAGGGCAGCATTCCTTTAAGTCATGCGGAATAGGCAGAGTGACCAACCAGTGTCCGAAATACTCTGCTAATTACAGAGTAACTGGTCAGTCCTAGAGGAGATCAACCCTGACTGCTCTTTAGAAGGCCAGATCCTGAAGAGGAAATTCAAATACTTTGGCCACCTGATGAGAAGGAAGGACTCCCTGGAGAAGAGCCTAATGCTGGGAACAATTGAGGGCAAAAGAAGAAGGGGATGACAGAGAATGAGGTGGCTGGATGG